GCAGTTTATGCCGAGTGTTACCCAGTGATTTCACGAGCTAACAATATCTGCCGACGTGACAAACCATGCTTGTCGAGGTACTTGGGGTAATGAAAAGGGAACTCTATAAATTAAATCTATCTACCATATTCTGCATTTGCCAATGTTGACTCAAAGTTGTTGAGCGAATGCTTGCGACCGTAAGATAATGTCGGTGCAAGCAGGAGGACAATTCGGTAAAAGGCGAGATCGAAACGGTGAATTCTTCTAACTCCGAAATTACTCACTCTGCTAACTCATTCAAGCCAATCTCTCAGCCCGATGATCGCCAAGTCAAAATCAAAACGCCTATTTCGCAATCCCCCTTGCCAAATGGATTTGTGCACGGAAGGAAATAACCGCAAACAATCGCTGGCTCTTGCGGTGTGAAACTAAACTTTTTTCAACCCTTTGAAAAATCGAACATGTGGCCACAGTCTCAGTATTGAATCGACTTTGATATTCTCTGGTGTGAATGCTATTTTCACAACTGTTTCTTTTTTTTTGCTAACTTGTTATTTTTAACACTGTTTTCACTAACAGGCTCCTCGCAAGTCAAAAAGTATAAAGATCAAGTTTGATAGATTAAAATGCAATAAATCACACTTCAAATTAATCACAATGTTGCTGATAGCTTAAGGAACATTGTGATTGCATTTTGAATGTTCAATCTTCCTTTTTTCTATTTTTTATTTTAACTCTTTGTGTTTTGTATATATATTAGTTGAACTGTGTCGTTGTCACGGAATTTGGAATTTATTATTGATTCGCAATTTAAAGCAGAGGCGGCACAAATCTTGAATTCAGTACCCTATTATGTGTCAATTGAGCCTCTCTGCACACTTGGTTACACCATCTCAATTAGTACACGCTCTACCCATAGAACAAAACTCTGTTTTTTATATACATATGATTTAGAGCATTAGTTTCTTTTCTCCTTTTACTTCACAACCAAGTATATCCTATCGCATCTCATGTCAAGTGCATTGAATGAACTTCTCGATCTCGCTCTTGCTTTAGTCTATCCTATTTTCATTTTAATATAAATTCTACTGCAAATTTGGTTGGAGGTTTGCGAGAAATTGAGAAGTTAATTCATCTTGATAGCAAAGTTGAGAGATTGCTCACCGTGATAGCACAGTTCAGAGGTTGTTCATCTTGGCGTTGCCGACTCTTGAGACCTCCATAATGTTGCACCATGCTTGATGCAGCACTTAAATGTATTTGCAAATACTTGCCTCGACGATCTAACCATGGGCGGTTTGAAAGGGTGGTCGTTAAGATACTTGAGCATCAGATTAGAAGATAAATCCTTGCAGACAACTTCATTACTGCCTTTGAAGGACCTCATCCATAAAATTACATAATTACGTTGTGGAAATGTAGAAATTTAGAATCTCCACTCATCTATTCAGTAGCAACAACACATATTGAGACCCTCATTCTAGAGTGAACAATGCAATATGAAGAAATGGTACACAACATTAAGGACTCAAAAGAAAGTCCTTGACATCAAAAGGTACGACATACTTTGTAGTCTGCTTTTAGTGCAAAACTTCTACCACATATTCTACTCAGCCTAGGAAGATACATTTTAGCAAAATCATTCTCCATGCATTAAAATAACAATTGCCTAGTGAGTCACTTGTCGTGAAAGATATTAACACAAATTGTAGCCTTGAGAATACAGCAAACACATAGTGAGGTGAATGAGATACATGCACACGAAGTTGGTCTTGGAGTTCTCATGAACTACTTAGGTTGCCTCATCAACACAGATGCCAATAGATTCCATGTTAAGGCCCTGTAAATTGTTGCATAACTCAACTTTTGCTTCATTTTTGCTTCACATTTAATGAAAACAATGAGAGATACATTCAATAAGAAATCAAATTTGTCTCCTTTGATTTATCTTGTTGGTTTATCTCCCCTTGATGTATTATATATGTGTATATATATGTATATATATACACATTGAGATATGCCTTAATTAGTTCTTTTATTTAAATTATAGCACTTTGATGCTATAAGAACTACTTGTGGAGTGTTTTAAAAAAATCTATTAAAAATAATATAAACATCTAGAGCATTTTAGATTTTTTTTAATGTGTTTAAAATTGCAGTTTAAATAAATAAATAAATATATATATATATATATATATATAGCATTTCTTTGTCTTATCTCAAGATTTATTTGAAAAAAAAATCTTTATTAATTTATATGTTTGCATCCACATACATAATATATTTATTAAAGAATATTTGTAATATATATATATATATATATATATATATATATACTCTAACTTAATTGATAGATAGGCTCATTTAATCAACAACCATAATCACAATATTCTTTTTTGTTTTAATGAAGTTTTTTTAATTAATTTATTTAAAATAATCCTTTAAACCATCTTCAGAAAATAGACCTCTAATTTTTTACATTCTAATGCAATAAATTTGCAGTAAGATAATTCAGACACTAATATGTTTATCAATATTTTTCCTGCTAAAGTTGATTGTAAAAATGTCATACTTGATGTTTAAAAACTCTTGCTTCATCTCAAGGACATATAATAATATGTAGAGCACTAATTATGACAAAAGTAAATTTAAGTTTATGGTTATAAAATTCTAAGATGATACAAAGTTTTAACATATTGAGGCTATAAAGATAAAACAGCAAGGTCTTAAAATGCAAATACAAACAAATCAATAAATTTAATTTTTTATTTGTTATGATAAAACGTTTTAAATCTATTTTTTTTAATCAATATTGAGTAAATAAAATAATCTTTGACTTCTTATATACATAAATTAGTTTGTTTAATAAGAGCATCAATGATAAAAAAAAAGAAAAAAAGAAAAAAAAAACTTATAAAATGATTTTAGCATATTAATTAAATTAGATGGTTTCTACATTTATTTACTATTATATATTTTTCCAATTTTTCATATAATCTAAATGTTTGTATTGGAGGCATTAGTTAATAACAAAATATTTCTTTATTATAATGAATATTATTTAATTAAGTACATATAAATAAAAGACATTAGAAGTAAAGAGAAATAAATGTAGTATATGATATGTTTTTTAACATACACTAAAGAAACTTCTGAAAAATAACTTAAATGTATATGTTTCTTTAGATGTACCATATTGTCATACAAATTGTTTTTTAGAAGCCATCAACATCCAGAAAATTCTATATGAAAAGAATAATAATCTATAAAACAAAATGTTTACCATCAAAGATTGAAAAATTCATAATAACATCAATTTACTAGAATTATTTTCTTTTTTTTCTTTTTAATAAGAAAAAGTTAAAACATCTGGTATAGTCGATGCCTTGCAATCTTGGTTTTTGCTCAGTTATGAAAATACCAAATAAAATTTCTTAACAAAATTCCTATATATATAATAAGTGTTATTTTACAGATCATTTATTTATTTATGAGTACCAAACTATCTTATAACAAAAGAGATTGTGATATGCTTAAACAACTTAAAACATGTATATTCCAACTATGCGTATAATATTTCTTTTGAAATAGAATTATGTTACAAAATTGCTATCTACACAACCATTTTGATGTTTTTATTTTTATTATGTGTATGCATAGAAATGTGCATACACAGAAGTTTTTATATTCATAATATTTTATTGACAAAGAATATATTACAATGATGCTAGAAAAAAAAAATTATGCATTTCAATTCATTACATACATTTGGATGATGTAAAAATAATAATATTCACAAAAAAAATTAAAATTTTATTAGACATCCAAATGATTGAATATACATGTATAGCTGGTTGTGATTATAATTTGTATTGAACATGGAATTCAAAATTCAAACTAAGTATTATGGTCCTTTCTACTAATGCATTAAATATAACCCACTTGCATAACAAGAAAACCGAAGCACTGAATTTTTTTATTTTATTTTTTCAAAAATAGTTAAGAATGTTTACATACAAGTTTCTGATAACATGTGCTAAAATAAAATCATTATAATCAATACAATATACAATTATAACATGCTCACTGACATCACATAATAAAAAAGATTCCCATGCTAACAACATCTTTAACCATTTTTCCTAACAGCAAGATTCACTTTATTCATTTTCCAACAAAAGTTTTTGTTTTTACGCAGTGATGCTAATTTTACACGGCCATGAAACATGTGATCCCATCAATTAAACAATAACCATCCTACTTTTCCTTTTTCAGAGCGAAAACAAAACACAGAACAAGAAACTCGGGGGGGATACAGAAACCCATACCTTTTACGTTTTCGGAAGGATACAAATTCCACCGCGGAATCCGTCATGGATAAAATATTCGTCGCCGGTGAGGAGGAGGAAATTATGTTCGCGCCGACGGTGGGACGTGCCGCACGCGAGGAGCGATAGTGCCCCTTTGCAACGGAATCGAAGGTGCCAAATCAAGCCTCTCGAAAAGACACAAACGGGCTAAAGAATGGCCCAACTTAGCAAAAGATGCATGCCGAATTCACACACTGGGAGAAAGAGACTTACCGCGCGGACAGGCATCGGGGAAAGCGCCCCCTTCCCCGAACAGGAGGGGGTTGGTTTTCTGTGTCAGGATCGTCGCAGGGCATCGACGAGCTTCGTAAAGAATTGGAAATGCGCGGGGGGGGGGGGGTTGGGATGCCACGCGAGTTAACGTTCCAGAAGATTGTGAAAGATCCCGTGGAATCATGAGTATTCGCTGCGGTGGGTGGGGTGCGAACCCCGAAGTGACTCAGCGGCGATGGTGGGTTTTTCCCGCCTCGGAGGTAAACATCACCACAGAGTTCTGGCGGGGAGGGAGTTTCAATTCAATGCTTGGGTTGTGAAGGAATTTCCTGGCGAGAGCGTGGACGCCAAAAGTGGAGTTGTAGTTATAGCCAGTGGACTAATGACTCCGTGAGGCTTCGAAATCAGCGGGGGGGGGGGGGGGGGGGGAATTCTCATAAGTTGTCCGCGTGGTTGAGTGGCGAGGGGGAGAGAGCGAGAGAGAAAGACAGAAAGGGGTGAGTGAACGATGGTTATGTGTTGATGAGATGCTCGTGTCGGACTTTGCTTATGCCTCTCACACGAGTGCTGCTTTAGGATGTGAGGCTGATGATGATGTGAAAAGAGCCGTTGTGTACGGCGTTGGTTAAGTCAGTTCAATTTGACTGGGCGTTCTTGCTGCAGCTGCTGCCTCCGCTGCCGCTGCAGTAACAGAAGGGGGATTGTAGGGTGCATGAGAGTAGACAAGTGGGAGTTGCGACGGGTTCGTACTTGTTGTGGTATCTGGGTTAGTGTATTTTGCGGTCTTCGTCAGTTCTCTGGATCCCGTTTTTACCAGTGATTGATAGGCGAGTGAGTGTCTCAGTTTGCAGGGTTGGGAACTTGTTTTGAGGACAGTTTTTGAGAGGAGTGGAGGTTTTGACCAGCGTCGAGGAGCTGCATTGGGAGATTTTGAATACTGAGAGGTTGGAACGAGTGGGAGGGTGGAGCGTGAGTTTGGGGTGTTTCTTGGTTTGGTAGAATCTGTTCTCTGGTAATGTTTGGTGATTGCTTGGATTGAGTATTGGGGTGTTTGGGGTATTGTGGCAACATTATCGTCTGTAAGTCGGGAAGGTTTATGGGCATTGTTGAGGTTGGGTTTATTTTTCGGTTGCAGGATGCGATCAAGAACGGAGCAGTACTTCTTTGATGCAAATGGTTTGAAGTGGTAGTTGGACAGGAGTTCTCTTGTTGTGAGATTCTTTGCACGTTTCGTCACGGGAGTAAGGGTATGGGACCCTCCAAGTATGAGACTGGCGGTGCGGGATTGCTGAAGTGGAGCTATCTAAGAGTGCAGCGATAAGGATGAGTAGTATCGTTGTTCTCAAGAGCAGCACAGTTCCCGACTCTGCATTCAAGGGTACTTTTAAGGAAGACGGTCAAGCCATGGCTCTCAGTGAGGTTCAGCGAGCTCACGACATTGGGTGGAATTGTCCAATGGTGCACCAGAGCGGGTTCAATCTGTCTGAAGAGTTGCGGAGGTCGGGAGAATTTTCTGCTGGGAAGAGTCGAAGTTTACGTAAAGAGCAGGATTACGCCTGCGCACCGGTGAAAGTAGAGAATATGAGCACTTCCTTGGTTGATTCTGCAGAAGAGAACACCACCATGAACGCTGCTGAGGTGACGGACCAACGTAGTGATGTGGAAACGAGCGCGGAGAAAACGAAGGTGGAGGACCATGGCCTCAGGAACAGAGTGTGGACTTTGGAAGAAGAGAAAGGCAAACTTCACAAAGACTTGGCTGCCATGACATTGAAGGAAACAATTCTGAGAGGCAAGGTCAGGGAATTTGAACTGCAAATGGATGGTCACAGGAAGCGAGTAGAGAGAGCAGAGAGAACAATTTTAGAACTCCGGCAAGCGGTGGCCCAGAGCAGTAAACAAGCGCGACAATCTGACGCAGAGGTTGAAGAGCTTCGCATGATTTGTGCTCGGAATGACGGAGAGAAGCAAGACATGCAAACCAGGATAGAAAGATTGCAGCAACTGTGTATGGATCATGAGAAGAGCATACATGGTCTCAGGCAAGGGCTTAAAAATGGTATGGATGGCAATAAAGAAGGAAGGATGAGCAGGTTGCAGAAAGAATTGCAAAGGTTGAGCGGTGTTGAGATTACTCTTCGTACTGACCTCGAGGCGTCTCGAGTCGAGAATACAACCTTGCGGCGTGATATGAACTGCCTACTGGAGAGATTTGCAAACCAGCAAAGAGAAAGTACAATGCACTTGAAGAAACTGGAGCAGGAGTTAAGGGCTGAGATTGATCGAGGCCAAGCTAAAGTTGCTGAACTTCAAGACGAAAATAATCTCCTGTTTGCGAAGTTGAGGTTGTTGACGAGAGAGAGACATGACACCCGAGAAGCCCTGAGATCTTCCAATGACAGAGTATCCGATTTAGAGGAAGAGAATCAATGCCTTCAAGAAGAGCTTGCGAAAGCAGAGAAGGCACTTGAAGTAAAGCAGAAGGATATTCTTAGCTTAGAGTCTCAGCTGGAATGCTCCAAACAGAACAGAGATATATCTGCCGCAGCGGTAGCGTTGAAAGAGAAAGCTCCTGCAAACGGTGTTTTGACGGTGACGGTGAATGACAAAGAAGAAATTTCCTCCGTAAACGATGATGCGATGGCGAAAGTGAACGATAAGGAATTTCGAAGTTCTGCACACTTGGGAAGTGAAATCCGTCAGAGTCTGCAGGCGGCGGCACAGCAACTTTACAGCATGAATGAAAGGTTAGAGTCGCTGATGGATAAACTCTCTGAGCGTGACCTTCAATTACAGGAAGCTAAGACGGAAATTGCTGAAAAGGACGAGGCTGTCACTAGTCTAGAGCACTCTCTGAGCAACTTAGCCAAGACGGTGGATTCCCAGAGTTCACGCATTATGCGCCTTTCCAAACAGAATGAAGACCTCACTAGATTAACGCAGTCACAGGCCAAACTGATCGAGGATTTCCAGTCTCGGCTCGCTGCTGCTTTGGGCTCTAAGAACAAAGCTGATCAAGAACTGGACGCAGCAAGAAAGCGATTGGAGGAATGTGAGAAACAGTTGGAATCACAGGATTTGACATGTCAGTTGCTACAAGAGAGAGTGGATGCGCTAGAGGCAGACTTGCAGCATTGCCAGCCACAGATCGCCACTCTTCTGCAACAAAGGGACGACTTAGCATCGGAGAGGGATGATTTGCATCATTCTCTTACCGACGCTACTCTTCGAGTCACAGACCTTGAGCATCGGTTGGCTGACAGAGAAGAAGTTGTGAAGTCGCATGAGGCAACCCTGCAGGAACTAAGGAAAGAGGTGGAAGAAAGCCAAAAAGAGTTGAATCTTGTCAAGCAAGAACGAGACGAGATGCAAAGAGAAGCCGAGGCTATGGGCAGGGAAGCATTGCGAACCAGTATGGAGGTTGAAGTTTTACGTAGACGAGTTCACCAGCTTGATGAAGATGTTCTGCTTCGGGATGGTCAGATTTGTATACTTCGCGGTGGTCTAGAGGATTCATAGCGAACTCCTCCCATTGAAAGGTCCCGAGCACGGCCAGAAAATGTACATACTCTAATACATGCCTCAGCGTTGATCAGGTCCTCAGTTTTCCACATTATTGCTTCTGATCCTATTCATGGCTTATCGACGTGACCATGCTGGTCATTGCGTTATTCTGCTGACGATGGTTACTACCCAGGATATGATGAGCCGGATGTCTCTCCAGCCTTGACTCTTGGTAAATGGACAACTGACCTTCTTCAATATCTGGATCCTACATTGACACATGATAGGCAAGAAAACCACATGATAGCCAGTTTTCTCTGCAGAAGTTGCGTACTAAGGAGTTCATTTAAGAGTGTTCCACTTTGAATACACTTGGTTCTCTTAAGACTACCTGATACGTCCACACTTCGACCATTTTTCGTTTGTGTTGCTGTAAGTGCCATTTCTCTGGAGGCCACTTATATGGGTTTCTGATTGCTAGATAGCATCTAGGACGTCAGGCCTGTTACGCTGGATCGGTATTACCTTATTTCCGTGATGATTTTCATGAGGTAACAGTAGGTTTGCATGCGTTGTATCCTATACTAGATGGGTATCTATGTTATGGGTTGTAGGTACATCATCTTCATAATTCAATCTTTAACACGTAAGAACTATAAGTACTCTGTGCAGTCATTTCTAGTTGAGTAAACACGTGTGGGTTTTTTACGATTAGCGATGCACCAAGTGCTCGCCCATTACCAAGCTTCTTTTTCAGGATTGTTCGATATCAAGCCATGGTAATGATATCGTGCTTCCTCAGTCGCCACAGTTCGCTCTCAGCTGCATCATATACACAATCTAGCACATGAGTCGCACCGAAGCAGCCTACAAGCGAGGTATGCGAATATGGTGAGCTCTCATCTACAACTGCAATTGTCTACAGTTATGTTCTTTGTCTCCACACCCGGTCCTAAAACCATCCAGCTTCTTCGAAAGCATCGAAACATTATACTGAATCAAGACTCTGATGCAACATTTTCCTACTTGTGCATTCACATTCCTGCAGCATACATTTATGATGCACCGTATGCAAACACTCGAAGATGCGCACCTACAGCTGCAACATTACTTGCTGTACAATACCATATGTGCACAATGAATCAAAGAGCGTAATCTGCCGCCCCCCAGCAAAACTTCATGCAGTACGATATCGGCGTGACACCATCAGCTGCTACCCTTAAATCGTCAGGAATGCCAAAGTGTCGGGACAGTAAATCACTTCACGAAATAGCCGGGACCGGGTTTAAAGCACTGCTCCTCAATCAACCTATCACAAACAAGAGAAAACAAAGACAATGTCGATGAGCCTGGCCGTCCAGCTCACTAGATTGGCAGATTAATATAGGTTCAATTAGGAGAAAGCTTGAAAAGAAGTAACAAGAGTTCCTATTGGAAAAGCCGAGAGTAGTCGCATACCATGATTTGGTTACTCGTCCACAACAGCCACTGTATTTTTCCCGTTTATTTTGAGGAAATAAAATGAGATACCTCCTGCTGTTGTCAACCCAAAAAGCTGCATTTTCCATATTACCTCGCTACGTAACCTCAGGTCTTCGTAGCACAGACAAGACAGATTGAAATAGTCATTGGAACTGCAACGTTCATTCCGATGAAACGCATTACGCAAGATTTAACTTCAAGGAAACCAGCTAACAGTAATAAGAAGTATCCACTAGAACTAAGATCAGCAATCGAGATTGTGCTACGGGCAGCATTGTTCCTTTTCCAAGTTCCGAGCAAGCGTGTTGCGACTTCGTGTGCCAAAACTGCAGCAGTACGCTTTTCATGAAACACGTACACCCGAAACCCTCAATGGAGGTCACATAGTTGCCTCACTATGCGGCAGATTGTCTGCTAAGAATCTGTTTCTAAGAAGAATCACTACATCGTTCAGTTGGGCCTGGCTACCAAGAATCCGCAGATCTGCACCTGCTTCACGTGATTCGAGCCCAACTCCTCGATCTCCCTCAACACAAGGGCGGAATCCTGGCACACCCGAACATGGGCAATTCCCACACGGTCCAGAAGCGACCATCGTAGTAATGAAATGCTTTCACGGGACACGCCGTCGGAGTTCTGTTCTCATGTAAAACCAATCACATTCGTGAACTCACTATCAAGCTATGCTTGGAACTTATCCCCCCACACAAGACAACAATGCTGGAAAACATTCATTCATTCTGTGGCTCAATATCAATTAGAATTTGAGCAGCTGCAACACTCGGCATTCAAGCTGAGTAATACTTCTGTTCCAAACTTTACAAACCATGTATGTATCTGTGTATGTATATTCCTATATATATATATATATATATACACACACACCCAAATCACAAATTGCACTGTTGATTATAGCAGACTGGCGGAGTTTACGATGCGAGCATCCCACCAAGTCGAACTCGAGGCAGGGGTGGGTGCGGGGATCATCAGCATTTCTGCAGGAACGTGTACTTCACCTGCCCTCGCGATGGCGTCATGAAATGGTGGGGCGGAGAAGAAGAAGGTCTTAGACTCGGTCATGCCGATTGGGTTCCACATTCACTCACACACTCGGCAATGCGCGGCCACCGTTCTAGACAAGCCCTGCAAGGGACTGGGCCCGGCCATGGCCTACAGCTGGGTCACCTCCACCACCACCGCGCAAGCAGCAGCAGCAACGAAAGGGACGCCATGCTCACAAAAAAGCACAAACCCAACATGCAAACAAACAAACCCCACAGACCCACAATCACCCACAATCAACAACCCTAATTGTTTTGTTTTGATTTGTTTTTGTCTTGTTGTGTATTTTTTTTAATACACAGAGAGAGAAAGATCCGACATCGTCACGGCAGAAGACAGAAGCTGCTGCCGCTCGCTCGCCACTGGAGCTGCAACCAAGACGTGGTCCAGTTTTCAAAAAAACAAAAATTGGCATCAACATGGATCTCATCATCAAGGCTCGCAAAACCCAAGGCATGATCATAATTTCTATAGATCCATTTTGTTCCTTTTTTTTTTTTTTTTTTTTTTATTGCTACACGAAATCTATGGCCCTAAATTCTGATGTTGTATCTATAATAAACATTATGCACTTATGAGATCCACTTGGAAGAGTGTTTATGGGTTTTTAAGTTTCTTTTGCTATGCCCATGACTGTGTGCATGTAAATTCTAACAATTTTATATGCACCAATGGCACTATTTACATTCAAGTTGAAAGAATAAAATAAAATAAAGTAATACATATATTTTATATTTCAAGATTTTCTTTGCAAAGCTGTAGTGATTATTCTACTGCACTTATTTATTTAATCATTAGATTAAAATCCTAATATATGATTTTTGTTTGAATGTATTATACTTTGTATAATTTGTATACTAAAGAAGTTAAAAACACATGTATTGTTATATATTGTACTGTTTTATTTACATATAAGGATTTTGCATGTATATGCTTATCAGAATTTATCTACATTAATGTTACAACATATTTATCCATATTAGTGTTTACTATCATGAAGTTGTTTTTCCCAAAAAAACCTGATTCTACAATCAAAACTTGTACTATGTGGCTAACATAGAATACAAATAGTTAGCAAACCACCTTCTTAAATGGGGCTTTGGTCTAATAGTCTATTTAAAGGTTATTAGATTTCAGACATATTGAGGTCTATGTTTCAAACCCCGTAGCTATGAAAATTTTGGGGTTCTTGGGTTAATTGGAGAGTAGGAGCTTAAAAAAATACTTGTGAAAAGTTCTTTAGGCATTGATTTAGAGTGCTTTGAGTTTGTATTGATTTTGTAAAGGCTTTGTAAAGTTAAGATTATTTTGAAGTTAGTATGGATTTTGAGAATTATAAAGAGCTTATCTTTTAGAAAATTGTATAAAATTGATTTATAATCTATATGTAAAATTTTGTGATTGTTTGATTGATGTAGTGGTTGATTTGTATAATAAGTTTGAGCTTGATCTAATAGTCTATTTAAAGGTTATTAGATTTCAAACGTATTGAGATCTTGAGAATTGGATTTTACAAGATTAGTGAGGGTTTCTAAGGTTTACAAAAATCTCCAATTTGGATTGAGTTAAAATTTTGTAAAATTATAGTTGATTTGATTTTAAACAATATTACAAAGTTTAAAAGCCATTGAATAGTGCAATTAAGAAATATTTGCTCTAAGACATTAGCATCAGATGAGGGGAAGAAGGTTAGCTAATACTAAAGTATATTTTATGGTTTATCTTTTCTTTAGTATATTTGATTGTTTTCAAATTATTTGCGCTTATTTTTTATTTGGTAATTAAAAGATGTGCAAATTTTGAATAGAAATCTAGAATCAAATTATTATTTATTGAAGATTTAATATGCTATAGGGTTGGTTAAGATTTTGTTTGAAGTTAAAGATTTGATTAGAATTTAATTAAGGTTTGATTTAAAATTTGGGATTCAATTAAGATTTTATTAAAGTTTGTTTTAGGATTCAATCAAGATTTGAAGAGAATTTGATTAGGATTTGATTTAAGATTTAAAGTTCAATTAGGATTTAGTTTAGAGTGTAGGATTTAATTAGGATTTTGTTTAGGATTTAGGATTTGTTTAGGATTTGATTAGGATTTAAGATTTAAGATTTTATTAGAATTTATTTAAGATTTACTTATAATTTCTATTTATAATATTTATTTAGAATTTTTACTTTAACATTCCTTTGTATGTTTGTTTTTTTTATTTTTTGGATTTTTATGAAATTCTTTATGATTATTTTATGTTTCTTTTATTACTTCTTTAAAATTTCAATTGGATTTGTTCACGATTTGATTAGGATTTTTAAGGTTTAATTAGACTTTTTTTAGGATTCTATTAGAATTTTTAAGATCTTGTCATTATAATTTCTATTTTTATCTTCTACAACCAATACTTGAGACTCTTTGTGCAATACTCTATGACACTAAGTTGCTTCAAAGGATCATGTTGATGTCATGTGATTGTTACTTGTCTAGTCAAAAAGTGATGTTAATGCACAAAATTATAGAAAGAAAATATTATTGCATTTAGTTGCTATAGAAGGGCAAATCCAAGTAGTGAAGGAACTTAATATAGAGTATTAATTACCTTTGCATTACTCAAGTGAATAACAATAACAAAACAATGCATTAGCTTGCAATTGAAAACCGTCACAAAGATATCAAAAAGTTGCTTCTAGAATGATTTAATGTCAAAGAGTATGTCAGCAACCTCTACTGAGACAAAGAAGTCTACATAGCTATGGCAAATGCTATATTGGTTGGTGCCATATTGATTGTTAACGTTACATTATCCTCATGGTTGCAATCTCTATTGATTTATGCAATTTACACTAACAACTATGAAATATATTGAAGTTCAGAGCATCATCCAAACCTGCAAGTATTTAAAGTATTTAATACTTTGTCATTCTTCTTTTCTATTGCTCTTGTGTTGGATGGTATTAGAAGTGTCTTATCCACCTATAACCAATTTATCTAAGATGTTGTGGAAAAAGTGAAAAAAACTCTATTTTGAAGTAATCTTCGTTTAATATGTTTTGTGATATTGTCACAGACATACTCATGTAAGCTAGTAATTACAAATACAAATAGGTGGAAGTAAGTAAAAGTAGGTAAAAGTAAATTAATTCTATAGTATTTAATATGGAAGCTTTCTAGAAGCTTTATAGACGCTGCTTTGACTTCATAGGTGCCTTTAATTGACTTTTTGGATTAGAAACGTGGTCAATAAGTTGGCCATGTGCCACACATATTGTTAGCTTGAAGATTAAGCTAACTATGTGGCCCATACGTAGAAAAACTTGCCTTGTAAGTGAAGGCATGTGTCCTACAAAGTCAATACATATTGGAGGTCCTATAGAACGTCGCCACGTAGCCCCTAGTTAGATAGTATATATAAAGACAAGAGTGAAGGCTTCTTCACTCTTATCAACTCTTTTTTTGCTTCTAGTCTAGTTTCAAGGGTCTCTAGTTTTCTTGTCTTTTGGCAATAGCCATTCTAGTTTCTCTTTCAATATACATACTTATTTATTTATATTTTGTTACCTTTCTTTGAGTGAAGGCTCACTTGATTGAATTGATTTTTCATCGAGTTCTTGTCCTTGACAGATATTTATACTTGGTGCCTTTGCCATAGCAAGATATGCTATTCTTCCATCCATTTCTAAGTGCCTCAACAACATGATTGTCACCCTTGTATTTGATGGATTAATGTATGTTGTTGTTTTGAATATGTTTCATTTAAACCTCAAATAGCTCTTCTTCAAATAGTGGCAAAGCATCATTATTGATAGAGTGATGTTTAATTGGAGGGAGTTATGAGTGAAAAAGACTAAAAATTTGGAACTTAAGGAATAGTTCTTCAAACAAAATTAACTAATTTTTTATATATTTTCTATTACAATGTTACAGATTTAACTAATATAATTTATAATTGATACTTTTTAAGGTATTAGTATTTTTTTATAATTGTTAAAGATAGTAAAATTTAACTTTTTATTTTTTAGATGTTTTATTTTATATTTATAAATAATTAGATTTGGATATATTTTTTTAATTTTTTTAACAATAATTTTTCTAAAATAAACCAATATTTCTATATTAAAAATATTTTTATATTAAAAATATTTATATGTTATAAATGTACATGTTTTGTAGCAACTATTATCTTAATTTTAATTTTAATTACCAATAAAATTATAAAAATAACTTTCAATACTGTCCAATATTTTAAGAATAAATTCAAGTATATGTCTATTTTTTTTTTCAAAGAATGTTGTTTTACTTTTACATTAAATAAATATAATTTTCTTACAATTTTATCATTTATAACATACAATATTTTTTTTAGTTTAGATTGTCACATTACATATGATCATGTTATAGGAATAGCATAGTTTAAGCATTATTTTGAGGTGCTATTTAACTTGAATCAAATAATCATTTTTTTTATGCGTGACTATATTATTATCTAAAAGCATGCATAAATTATGAAGGATAAGAGTTCTACATTAACTATAGTATTTAGTGATATCATTGGGCTACTTTGAGACTTTAAGTAAAAGATAATTTAAAATTTCTCGTTATAAAACAACAACAAAGTTTTTGAATTTTATTATATTTCATATATTTTTTAAATTTATATTCTTTAAAATTAACAATACTAAAGAATTTTTAAATGAATCAAAATATAGATTTTTATAAAAATAATACTAATTTATTTGCTTTAGGATGAAATTACAAAAATTATATGATGTGTGTGATCTACTTATTGCAAAAATAATTATATTTCTATTACAATCATAGTTTATTAATAAAATAAATAATAATTAAAATAAATTAAAATAAATTAAAATAAGAGATATGTTTTTTTAGAGAACTCTTAAGACATTTATGATTATAACCTATTATTGCCTCTCAAAATGTGTGACTTTCTTTCAGTATCTTCAAATAAGATATACTTAAACATTAGAAGTCTAAATTTTTAACAGCCATGTTTTCTTAATTTCCAAGCAACCAAATATGGGGTATTTGGTTGATTAGAAATATTCATAAAAAAAAAATTAGTTCAATCTCAATTGGCTCTTTGAAATTACAATTTTTTTAAAAAAATATACATTATGTGTTTTTATATATATAATTATTTATTGAGTATTATTTTTTCCATTGATTTATTATAAATATCAAACATAGGTACTAGAAAAAAAATTCACTCTATAATTTTAACTCTTTTTTTTTACTCTAAAATATCTGAATAATATAT